ATGAGACTCCAGGTGACCTGATGGGGCCCTGCAAACTGGCCCAGAGCCACCCAGGGGGATGCCAAGGACACTAGAAATACACCAAGTCCAGGGAAAGCGGGAGCCCACTGCCAGTGTGCCCCGCCCACACTCTGCCACCCTGGTCCAGGCTCCATCACATGCCAGGACAGCCTTCTACCCAATCCTCTGCATCCTTAACAGAAAGACCTCTTCACCTTCATACCTCATGGCATACAGAGGGCATCAATGAGAGTGAGGGAAACTGAACAGACCTGCAACAAAACAGACCATTTTCTAGAACAGAGAGCAGGAAGTCCCCATAAATCCAATGATCAGGACCCTGGGCTATTTCTGTCAACCTGTGTGGGGCATCCACTTGATGCCAGGTGCTAGGCACTTGGCTGTAAGGGCTACCAAGGGGGGCGATTTTTCCAGTAGTCATTTATGGATGTGAGAGTTGGATCATAAAGAAGGCTGAGCATCGAAGAATTGAGGCTTTCAAACTGTGGTGTTGGAGAAGACTCTTGAGAATCCCTTGGACAGCAAGGAGATGAAACCAGTCAATCCTAAAGGAAATCAACCTTGAATATTCATTCAAAGGACTGATGCAGAGGCTGAAGCTCCAATACTTTGGCCACCTGGTACGAACAGCCGACTTACTGGAAACAACTCTGATGCTGGGAAAGATTGAGGGCAGGAGGAGAAGGAGGGTGACAGAGGATGAGATGATTGGATGGCATCACCGACTCAATGGACATGAGTTTGAGCAAGCTCCAGGAGATGATGAAGGACAGGGAAGCCTGGCATGCTGCAGTTCATGGGGTCGCAAAGAGCTGGACACGACTGAGCAAAGAGCTGGACACGACTGAGCGACTCAGCAACAACAACAAAAGGGGCAATGCAGCTCCTGTCCTCCAGGGATGCTTGTCCGGTCGGGGGAGCAGAACACATCCTGATGGGGCCAGAGCGTGTCAAACAGGAGCCCTAAGCAAGGAGAAGGCAGCTTGGCCAGAGCTGAGTCAGGAGACGACTCAAGGGACAGCATCCGAGGAGGAGTCAGAGGCAGAGAGCCAAAGAGAGGGGAGGGAGACCCCTCCACTCGGAGGGACTGACAAGTTCAAGGGCCAGGTCTTGCTCAGCCTGGACCTTGGGCCTACACCGGGGGTGCACTGTGGGCTTCAGAAACAAAGGGCCCTTGATGCGGGTACAAGATAGAACAGCCTCCTATGGATTCTCTGCTCTAGGGACCATTGGGCAGAAGAGACGGAATTCACACTGGGGGTGTGTGTGTGAGAGACAGAGAGCGAGCAGGGACAAAAGGAGATACCATTCTGCAGATCCTGCTGTGGTTTCTCCAAGCTCCAGCGAACACCAGGCTGGCAGGGCCACCCAGAGAGGGGACCACAGCCAGGAGTGGAAACATATGAGAGCCAGACCGTAGACAGCATCAAGGACCCCAGACAGAGAGCCAGCTCGGGGTCTGCCTGGCTGCCGGCTCCTCTCTGGTACCTAAAACTCCCCACCTTTCTGCTCAGCTGCCCTCCACGGGACGAGAGTTCCTCTGTCCCCAGACCCCGCCCCCACCTTGGGAAAGTCCTTTGGGGGAGCAGATATGGAGAAGGTGACATCACAGGGCAGCCAGGAGAAAACTCCGGAAGGCAGAGGCTGGGACGAGACACTGTCCCCACTGCGCTTCCACCCTCTGAGGCTTGGGAAGCAGCTCTGAGAGCCCTTCACTCCTAACATCCAATCACTCATGCAGGGTCACCAGCTGGCTGCCCTCTCTGAGTCAGTGAAGAGGGTCGCTCAGGCTTCCCCCAGGGTCCACTTGCGGAGGAGGAGGAGGACAGAGTTAAATAACCTCGCCTCTCTCTCCAGCGGTGTCTGGGATGCACAGCTTTCCTCTGCCTCCCTCCCCGGCTCAGCTCCCCATCTCTGCCCTCACTCAGAGACTCCCTTATGTCACCACGGGTTGCTGTCATTCCCAAGGGCCACCACAGAGCCCCTCCAAGCTAGCAGAGCTGAGGAAGGACAGACCACCCACACCAGCCTCCAGCCCGGCTGGGGACAGATGTAGCCTTACTCCCTAGGCACTTCCAGCAGTGACAGTAGTCTTTAAAAGACTAAAGCAGAATCACAGGGATTTCCCTGGCGGTCCAGTGGTTAAGACTGCACACTTCCACAGCAGCGGGTGTGAGCTCAGTCCTTGGTGGGGCAACTAAGATCCCGCATGCCAGAAAATTTTTTTTAAAAAAAAGCAAAAGCACTTCCCTTTCAGTTTCTGAGAGAAGAAATAGGGGTGTAGGGATGGTGATGGATGGGTCCCTCTCCTGGGAAGGCCCCCCGTGCTGTCCTGCCCAGAGTGACTTAGTCAATAGACCTAAGTGGACGGTCGCAGGGGACAGGCCTGGAGGATACCCCAGCAAGACAGCTCCCCGACCCCAGGATTCAAAACACCTAACATATAGGTAAGGTTCCTCATACACATCGCCTTCCATAGAGATCATGCATTAACCCCCCTGTAATCAAACCAAGTATAAGATGAGACCCCAGACAGTGAGCCTGCAGCCCCAAGCTGAGGCTGAAAGTAACCAGGCAATGGTTCAGCAAGGCACTGGAGGGAAACGGGGAGAAAAGGTAGTCAGGCATTTAGAGGACTGCAGCAGACATGAGAGCCCAGCTTTGAACTTTTCCCTGCCCGCGGTGACTCTCTCAGAGTCTTAAGGAGGGTCCACGGCCCCCTGAGTGCGCATCTCCTGGGTGATGCTGGGGCTGGGCAGGAGGGCTGGCCGTGCCCAGAGGGACCTGGACCAGACCAGAGCCTGGCCACCTGACAGGCAGCACAGCCCCAGCGGCCGAGTTGCCCATTGCTCTAGCATGGAATTGAGCTGGTGACCATCTGTGGAGCAGCCCCTGAGCCCCAGTGGCAGCCGCTGAAGCATGCTCAGTGTAATTAGGAGCTGCCCAAGGGTGACGTGCACACCGCAGCCCCAGTCAGGAGGGGTGGCCTAATGGAGGGGAGCGGGGCGTGGAGGGGCCACTCTGGGCGGGCCTGAGGGCACTTGGAGGTCAGGGTGTCCATGAGGAAGGGAAGAGGGAGTGGGCTTCCCAACCAGGATGGGCACCAGCAAGGGATGCCCAAGGGGCCTGGATGCCTCTGCTCAGGTCTCGTCTCAGGACTCTGAAAGCCCGCTGCTCTTCATCTCTGGAAGTACTGAGGTTAGTGGTAGTGTTCGTCACTCAGCCATGCCCGACTCTTTGCAGCCCTGTGGACTGCAGCCCACCAGGCTCCTCTGTCCATGCAGAATACTGCAGTGGGTTGCCATTTCCTCCTCCAGGGGATCCTCCCAACTCAGGGATCAAACCTGGGGCTCCTGCACTGCAGGCAGATTCTTCACCAATGAGCCACCAGGGAAGCCCTACTGAGGTTATACAGACCATCAAAAATTGCATATACTTGGAAATTCCCTGATGGTCCAGTGGTTAGGACTCTGTACTTCCACTGCAAGAGGCCCAGGCTTGATCCCTAGTCAGGGAATTAAGATCTCACAATGCTCGAGGCATATCCAAAAAATGTTGTATATATTTAAGGTGCACAATCCAATACACTTAAGTACTGTGAAATATTCACCATGAGTCTATCAACACATCCATCACTTCACACCTCTACCATTACCTTTTTTGTTTGTTTGATTTCTTTTTTGTGCTGAGAACACCTAAGGTCTACACATCTAAAGTCAGCAAATTTCAAGTACACAGTACAACATGTCAACTACAGTAACATGGCTATAGCCAGCTCTCCGGGACTTACTCATCTTGCAAGAATGAAACTTCATAGAGGGTGCCTACTGGTGATCCCATCAGCCCACCCTACTCAGACTGCGTCTTCATTGCCCTACACAGCGAGGCTTGTTCTCGCTGCCCCCACAGCCATACCCACACTGAGCCCCATTGACTGGACTCCAGACCCCACCCCTCCTTGGGAATTCCAGCCCCAACTCCTACCTGAAACATCCCTTATGCCCCAGCATCCGTGCCTGCGCTATTCCCTCCCTCCTCTGCTTCCCCTGATATTCTGCACCAGATCCTCTTTTAAACTCTTTCTTCTAGGGTGTGAGTGTGCACAAGAATATATAAGTGTGTGTATATGAGTGTGAGTATGTGTGTGGGGGGGGTGTTCCGATCAGATCAACATCCTAAGCAAAGAATCTACTATAGCAGATGGTGTGATGGCAGGAGGGAAGCTCAGCAGAGACAAAGGCTGAGTGGCGAGCCGTGGGATGTGTCTCCACAGCGCCATCCACGTGGTCCCGTCTTGTGGCACTGACCACACCCCATGCCTGGTGCTCGTTGAACTGTCTGACCCTCAACAATACCACCAAGGACCATGGAACACAGGACTTTGTCAGCCTCATTCACCAGTGTCTCCTTAGCATCTCACATAAGATCTCGACCAAAATGTGTGCATCACACACGCTGGATGGATGGACGGATGGATAAACAAATGAACATCATGGGCTGTAGGGTCAGAGATAGGTTTGAAATTCCACCACTTATCAGCTGTGTGACCCTGACTGTGTGGCCTATCATGCCTGGGCTAGCTTCCTGTATGTAAAACAAGGATCCTAGCATCTCACTGTGTGAGAATTCAATGAAATAGGCAGAGTCTGCTAGCGAGTCTACAGTACCTGGTCATCAGTAGATGGCAAGTGAATGTTAACCATCTCATCTCTCAGGCACCCCTGTGGTATGTAGTACAATCCTGTGACAGAACAGGTGTCTGATACTTTCAAGGTGATGTCCAGTGAATGAATCATGGAAAATTAACTCCCACCAGCTCTTTCTGCCTCTAGGGTCCTGACCCAAAGGGAGGAGGTTGTGTGCCCCATCCCCGGTCCCCGTCTATAAAGTCCCACTCTGTCCCTGACATTAGATTCTTCTCTCAGCCCTCCACCTGCCCCAGCTTCATATCCCCAGTGCCCGGAGCTATAACCCCTCACCTGGACAGATGTGCAGGTGGTGATGACACTGGTCCCCAGGCTGGTGCTATCACTGAGGTCATCTGGCAATGAAGGCGTTTTCTCTACCCGAGGGGCCTGTGTGGCCTGGAATGGGGGGTTTTTAGGGGACAGGTTCACATCTGTACCATTGCCAAAGGCCTGGATGGCGTTCCCTGTGGGAAAGAGAGCAGGGAGACACAGAGAAATCAGGGGCCCCTCTGTCACTCTGCCCCTCAGCTGAAGGTATCCCAACAGCTACCTTTCCTGTGATGGTCCGGAGCCGGGGGCAGGGTGGAACTTGCCTGAACTAACTCAGCTGAAGCTCCCTTTCAGATACCTAGCAAGGTCTCATACCCAGAGAAGAAAAGAGCAGGAGGGAAGCTGGAATAGAAGGAGATGTACTGGATGAGGAATGAAGAGGAACAGAGAAGTGGGAGCATGGAGAGCCAGGAGGGGAGGAGCAGGCCGTGCCCAGGGCATGAGCTGTCTTCTCTGCAGCATTCGGTGCTGCAGGCCATGCCCCCCACTGCATGCCAATAGCCCCCAGTGCAGCCCCCTCCCCAGGTGGCCTCACCCACCCTCACTCAGTCAGCTATGCTGACTGACTCAGGACTAATGAGACCTCTTGGACAAAATTGTGTCCCCAGTACCCAACCATACACACAAGACCTAGAGGAAGCTCCACCTCCAAGCCCCAGAGGCACCTCAAGTGCATCAGATCGCCACCTTAACTAGGCACCACTCCCTCCACTGTGACACTGCCCCCCCGCCACATTTCCAGTACTGAAGGTGTGCCATCTCTTTTCCACTAAGTCACCCAAGGCTGAAATCTCGGTCACTCAGGACACTTCCCTAACCACCCTCTTGCTGGCCACGAGCTGACCTCTGAGAGGTCTCTCCACCCATCTCTCCTGCCCATCCCACTGCCAACACTGCTCTGGATCAGTGGGCACCGTCCTCCACCCGGAGCACCTGCTACATCCTCTAGTGGACTCGGTTTTGGGTCACCTGTGAGAACAATATCCCTACCCTCACCCCCTCCACACGAGAAGCAGAGAGTGAGCCTTCCAAAATCAGATCTGACCACGGCACCACCTGCCAACACCCTTTCACGAACCCACATACCACCTCTGCCACCTGCAGGACCCTAAGATCCAAATGCCTTCAAGTCTCCCTGCCCGCCTCCATGAGGAGGACTCTCTCCACCTGTCCAAGTAACCCCAGGCATCCTCGCGCTCTGTGGCAAGGCTAAGCTGTCCACAGGTTCCCAAAACCCACCTCTGCCTAGAGCAGACCAGCGGGCCCTCGCTGCCACTTCAGCTGACCAGTGCCCACCGACCCCCGCTGTGGGTCAGCTTCCAAGAAGCCTTCAGGGACCCTTACCTCCAGGATGTCTTGGGCATCCCCACCCTGTGCTCCGGCAGAACCCTCTGCAGACCTCCACCCTAGCACAGTGCCCTCTGTACTGTGATGGCCATGATGCTCTAATGGTGCACCCCCTTCAGAGGGTGAGCTGCTCAGTGACAAGACCTGTGACTTCCACCTCTAAACTCCCAGTGCTGTCAGCAAGGCAGGATGGAGAGATAGACAGATGGACAGAAGGAAGAAAAGAGGAAGGGAAAGGGGGAGGAGATCTTCCAGTGGGTGGGTGGTCGAGGGTGTCAGACTAGAAAGACCAGGCAGATGGAGCTTGTGGCTGACTTCTTTCTCTGGCCTTCAGATTAATAGGAGCTTGATGACTTGAGACTCCAATTCCCAGGGGAAATCAATCCTTAAAGGCAGAAGTGACAGAAGCTGAGACCCTCATCACAGGGCAGTCCCCAAAGGAACCTGGTGAAACCATCAGGATAACAGACCAGAAACCTTCAGCCTTAATGTGACAAAGGTTGAGGCCTCCAGGGGCCTCCGGACAGCTCCAGGAAGCATCTGCAGGAGTGCAAAACCCACAGTCTGTGTAGTCAGCCCCCATCCTGGAGGAGCCCCATAGGGATCACCAGCCACCGCAGAGGAAGGAAGGCAGGACCCAGCACAGTTCCAGGGCCCCCGGGACAGAAGGGGCGGGACGGCTCCTGACGGGCGGACGCAGGCGGACTCACGGAGGCATGGGTTTTCTGTGAAGTCCTTCAGAAACTTCTCACACTCCTCCTCCATGTTCCCACTCCCACGGCAGCTGCACCAGGGGGACACCACGATGCCCGTGGGGCTGGAGTCCACGTAGTTGGGTGTTATGTCGAACCCTGGGCAGGGAGACAGGGAGGCCGAGGAGAGAGGAACAGTAAGGCTTCCCTCCTGGCCCCCAGACCCCAGGCACATCACAGACGAGGCTTGGGACCCATCCCCCACCCCCAACACCTGACCCCTAAACACATATACATCACAGCTCACAATCCAAACCACGAGGGTTGGCAGGGGGGTCACGGCATAGAGGACAGCAGAGGGGATACCCAGGAGCCCCTACTCAGAGCACAGGCCCTGGCTTTCTCCTACACCAACAGTCAGGGAGACTAAGGCTCTCTCCTGGGTTTATATCCCAGTGCCAGCATTGACCAGCGGGGTGAACATGTGCAAGTCACTGTTTCCCTAAGCCTCAGTTTTCCCATCTGTAAAGTGGAGCCTCAACCCCAATTCTGAAAGCACTGTTTTGAGATTTACATAAGACAGTCCACGTAAACTGCTCAGTCCAGAGCCTAGAATGTCGCACAATGAACATCACCCTTCTTATTTCAGAAGCTTCCTAATATCCTTGGGGCTCCTCCCCTGTGATAAAATCCCAGCTCCCATCACACCTCTTATCTGAAACCAGGCAGAGGAAGAACTGGACTTCAGTCCCTAACTGGGCCAAGGGCAGCCGGGAGCTGCTGAGATCCCCGGCTGGGTGGCTTACCAATCATGCCAGCGTAGGAGCCCAGACACGCCTGGTAATTGTCGGTGGGGCAGCTGGTGAGCGTCTGGTAGGAGGCACGGCAGTTGGCATGGAAGTCCGCCAGCCGGGACCTGGGGTCAGGAGAAGACCATGGAGAAAGCAGGTTAACCTGACTGACCTCCCGTCTCCTCCAGGGCACAGCCGCTCCTTCAGAGCTTCCCAGGGCAGGAGGAAACCAGGAAGGACAGAGAGAAGAGGGAGACGGGGAGTAAACAAGCTTTGGGGGGGTTTCAGGCTAGGAGCTCCTTGAGGACAGGACTTCCTGGAAATCAAGGCATCCAGTTTCATTATTGTTCGGTCACTCAGCTGTGTCCAGCTCTTTGTGATCCCATGGACTGCAGCACGCGAGGCTTCCCAGGCCTTCCCTATCTCCCAGAATTTGCTCAAACTCATGTCCATCGAGTCAGTGATGCTTTCCAACTGTCTCATCCTGTCGCCCCCTTCTCCTTCTGCCAGTCATCCAGCTTAGGCAAAACCCATTCTGAACGGGTCTTGCCTCTTGAAGTTCCTCTTGAACGTGGAGGAACACAAAGAGAACCCGGGTGGGTTTGCTGACAATGTCTGGGACTCAAACAGGAAGGCCAGGCTCTGCTTCCTGCTTGGTCACACTCCTGGTGACCTTTCCCAAGTCCTTCAACACATTGCTACTGCCACCCTACAATCCCTAGGGACTTCCCTGGCGGGAGTCAGTGGTTAAGAGTCCACCTTGGAATGCAGAGGATGTGGGTTTGACCCCTGGTCCAGGAACTAAGATCTTACAATGCCATGGAGCAACTACGCCCGCGAGCCACAAGCAGAAAGAGTTCACGAGCCATAACTCGGGACCTGCATGATGCAACAAAGATCCAAAGCAGACAAAAAAATAAATAAATAACCCCTGCCCAGCCACCTCATAGGGCTTCCCTGAAGGCTCAGACAGTAAAGAATCTGCCTGCAATGCAGGAGATCCAGGTTTGATTCCTGGCTCGGGAAGAGGCCTTGGAAAAGGAAATGGCAACCCGCTCCAGTATTCATGCCTGGAGAATCCCATGGACAGAGAAGCCTGATGGGCTACTGTCCACAGGGTGTCTAAGAGGCAGACAGAACTGAGCAACTAACACCTTCAGCCACCTCACAGGGTCCTTCTAGGGGTTAGTGGGACCAACTCCCAGGGAGGTTAAAAAAAAAAAGAGTCCCCCTAGGATGAGACATCCCTCGGGCATTCCTGACCCTTCTCTTCTACATCAAATCAGAGCAGAGCCTCCAGGGACGTCCCTCCACTAGCTCCCCAACCCCGCAAGGCACAATCAGCATTTCCTTCCCCTGGTGACATAACCTGTCATCACCTGCTCCTCTCTGCCGGCACGGATAAAGCTGCTTTGTACCCGCCTGCACACAGCCGTGTTCCCAGCATGACCGTGAGCTGCCGGAGGGCAGCTGCTGTCTGAGCCCGTCTGCCCCCAGCCCCTGGCACCTGCATGGAGCTCACAGGAGGCCTCGGGCACCCAAGTCCAACCTGCACAGGTATTTCTACTGCTTCTTCCTCCTGCCCTAGTGCCCCGGGCCCGGGGCTGCTGCCATCGGCCTGAGCCAGGACCACTGCCGCCTCCCACCGCTCAGGCTGCAGTGCCTGAGAACTAGGGGAGCCACAGGAGGGCCCACCTGCCACCCTGCCCATGCTGTCCACACCGCAGAATCTCTCACAAAGCCACCTTGACGATCACCCCCAGTTCAGCTCCCTGCTTCTCCACCAGAACTCTGTCCACATCAGGAAGGATCAGGATGAGAGAAAAGTAAGAAGCTGAGAGAGACCACCAACAGGACAGCCTAAAAGGAACACCCTCAATGGAGCCGTCCACTTAGGTCCTCCCACGGGACAAATCCTGCTTTGCCAGGAGGCACCATAGTCCCAGGAAAACAGGTATAGGAGAAGGAAGTAGCAGCTCTCCAGAACAATTTGACCCCAAAGATGCTTCATGTGTCCCTGGACTCCTGCAGCCTGCAGAGACAGCAAGGGGCCGGAGATGGAAGGTGAGCTCCAAGCTGAGAGCCAGGGGGCGGGGTCTCGCTTCAGCTCCGCCCCTAACTCACTGCAAGACTTCAGATAAGTCCTTGCTTCTTGCGGACTCATTTTCCTTATTTATCCAATACACAGAAACTGTTTTCACAGTCGGGGAAGATGACGAAGTTCTGGAGATGGACGGCAGTGTGGTTGCACAACAGTGGGAGTGCACCCAACGCCGCTGAGCTGTGCCCTCAAATCTGGTGAAAATGGCCAGTTTTATGTTGTGTGTAACTGACCACAATCAAAATGTGACTTACACAGAGGTCCATTCACATCCACTTTTTATGACTGAGTCCTCACAAAAATTCTGAGATGTGCCAAGCAGTTGTTAGCACCCATCCCCCTTTACAGAGGAAGAAGCTGAGCCTCAGAGGAGATCAGTAACCTGCCCAGGACCCCAGAGCTTCTGAGCAGTGGAGCCAGAATTCCAGCCCAGAACCCCAACGACAAGGGCAGCCCCTTCTGGCGGGCTCCCCACCCCCATCTGACTCCTCTACAAAAGTATCCTGTCCTCCACAGGAAAAGAGAAGGAAATTTGCATTGTCTCCACCCTACCTCCTGCCCATAAATCACACCCTCTATCTGCTCACCCAGTCCCCCAAACAGGGAAAAATAGCGCTTCCAACCAAGCTCCCAGCCCCTGCAGAGTAAGACTTGGCCTTGAATGGTCAGATCAGCGTCTGTCCTGCATGAGCCCAGCAAATGAATGAAGGTCAATGAGAGGTGGTCTCTGCCCACACCCCAGACCTCCAGAGACCCACCAGGGAGCCAGGAAGGGACACGGACTTAGGCAAGGAGGATCTGGAGCGAACAAACCAAAATCTCTAAGCAGCTGTCACAGGTTGAACTGTGTCAGCCAAGGAGCCATGTGGCTTCCCTGGTGGCTCAGATGGTAAAGAATCTGCCTGCAGTGTGGGAGACCTGAGTTTGATCCCTGGGTCGGGAAGATCCCCTGGAGGAGGGCATGACAACCCACTCTAGTATTCTTGCCTGGAGAATCCCCGTGGAGAGAGAAGCCTGGTGGGCTACAGTCCATGGGGTCACAACATGTCAGACACAACTGAGAGACTAACACACACAAGGAGCCAGACGCTCGTCCCTAGTGCCTGTGAACCTGACCTTATTCAGACATAAGCTCTTTGCAGATATAGCAAGCTGAGGTCACAGTGGATTAGGGTGAGACCTCAATCCAAAGTCTGGTGTCCTTATAAGCAGAAAAGAAGAGACACAGACACACGGTGAGAATGCATGTGACGATCCAGGCAGCATTTGAACTGATGCACCTACAAGTCTGGGCTTCCCAGGTGGTGCTAGGGGTAAAGAATCTGGCTCTCAATGCTGGAGATCAGGATTTGATCCTTGGGTCAGGAAGATCCCCTGGCAGAGGAAAGGACAACCCACTCCAGTATTCTCACCTGGGAAAACCCATGGACAGAGGAGCTTGGCGGGCTATAGTCCATGGGGATGCAAAGAGCCGAACACCACTAAGCTACTAGACATTCACACACCTTTACAAGTCCAGGGACGCCAAGGAGTGCCAGCAACACCAGAAACTAAAAGAAAGGCATCAAACAAATTCTCCCTTTAAGCCTGCACAGTCCTGCCGACACCTGGATTTTGGACTTCTGGCCTCCAAAACTGTGAAAAATCAGTTTGTGGGCTTTTTTAATTGCATTATAATTGCCTTACAGTGTTGTGTTAGCTTCTGCTGTACAACGTGAATCAGTCACATGTACACACACATCCACTCCCTCTTGGACCCTCCTCCCACCCAGCCCTCTAGCGTCACAGAGCGCCGAGCTGAGCTCCCTACGCGGCACAGTGGCTTCCCACTCGCTGTCTGTTCTGTACCTGGCAGTGTACCCGTGCCAATTCCAACCTTCCAATTCACACCACCCTCCCTCTCTCACCCCAGGTCCACATGTCCATTCTCTACATCTGCATCTCTATTCTAACCTATACCAACAGGTTCCCCTGTACCATTTTTTCTAGATTCCACATGTATCTGTTAATACATGATGTTTGTTTCTCTGACTCACTTCACCCTGCATGACAGACCCATATCTTTTCAGCGTCTGTTTTAAGCCACCCAGACTGTGGCACTCTGTTCAGGCAGCCACAGGCCACGCACACAGCACCTTCAATGACCTCATTGTTTGCCGTGGCCGAAGGGTCTCCCTCTAGAAGGAGCCAAGGGCATGTGGTCAGGCCCCGGCAACAAGGAGCACTGCGGCTGGGCAGCAGGAAGCCGCGGCTGAACTCCTCCAGGGCGCGGGGCTGTGAGATTACAAGCAGAGATGCTAGTTACCATCTCCTCCCCACCAAAGAGAAGCTAAAATAGGATTGCTTAACCAAAATACAGAAGTCCGTGCTAATGCCGTTTGATCACATGGAGAGCCCAACCCCCTCCCCTACAAGGGCTCACTGTCAGTCCTGCCCCGGAAGTCCTTTCTGCCCCACCAGTCACATGGACTTCTCCCATCTCTACTCCAGCTACATATCCAGTCTGGACAAGGCAACTTCATACTTAATTGCATACAGACTTACTGATACGGCCCTGTTTGCTCCCCTCAACTGGAACATACATTCCCAGAGCAGAAGACTCTACTGACTTCTTCATCTATATCCTCCAAACGCCTTTGGACTAGTGGGAGATACCCATTCATCTTTTTCCCAAATACGTATTGAAGTCCTGCCATGTGACTGACAGACGAATGATGGGAATGGCTCACATGTCAGTGAAATGTCAGAAAGGACATCCCAGCCGATGGGGTCAGGGCTGAGTGCCCACCAGGCCCGGGGCCAGGCCTCCACAGAGGTCAGTGCCAGCCCAGTGTCCTGGAGGAGCGTGATGCCTGCTGCAGCAGACCTGAGAACCTAGCTCCAACCTCCCCATCCTACAGGGGGGCCTCACCTCCCTTCCCCAATCACTGACACGGGAACATTGAGGTTCTTGGCAGCCTCACATCCATGATGCCCCTCAAAATATCACCAGACCCCAGGCTAGAGACATGTGAAAATGAGAAA